CATAAATTCTACAATGTAAATCACTTTTCCTCAAAATTTTGACAATGTGGCTTCTTTGCCTCTAGGTTTCAGTGCTGTTGCTGAAAAGCCCGCACTTGCTTAACAGTTTGTCTGGGTATAGAATCCTAGGGCATAAATCAGCTTCCAGAACTGTTGAGAAACCCAAAGCCATCATGTACCCTGATCTGTTAGACATGTCTTGCTTTTGTTTTGTTTTGTTTTTCCCATTTTTCCTTTCTGGAAGCTTTCAATATCTTCTCTTTATCCGTATTCTGAAATTTCACAATAATTTGCCTTGATGTGGGTCTTTTTGTCATTTGCTGTGTGAAGCATGTGGTGGGTTCAGACAGGGAAACGTGATTTCAGTTCTGGGAATTTTATTTTTATAAAATTTCCTTGCATATTGCCTCCACTGTGTTTTTTCCATTTTTCTCTTTTTGGGTTTCTTACTATTTGGATGCTGGAGATCCTAGATGGATCCTCCAAATTTGTTCCCTCTCTTTCCTATTTTCAATCTGTTTATCCTTTTGTTTTACTTTCTGAGAGGTCTCCTCATGTTCCAAATGTTGCATTATTTAAAAAAAACTTTTTTGGTCTGCTCATTTTAACTTTCAAGAGCTCTGTTTTATTCTAGGTGGGATCTCCCACTTTTTCTTTTGACATTCTGTTTTTGCTTTTTGAATATAACGCCTTCTGTCTGTCTGATGATATTACTTATAATGTTTTGAGGTCCATTCATTTCTAACGTGGGTCACTAAGATCAGATGAAAAGCTCTGTGGAGTGGAATGTGGCTTCTCAGTTGGTGAAATTAACTATAAGGTCATGTGGGGAACTCATCATTTCGCTGAGGGACCCCCAACCATCAGGAATGTCCCCATTTTGTAGATGGAGAGGAATCGTCACTGAGAAAATAAGCAACTTGCCCAAGTTCACCCCCTGACTGGGGTAGCTGAGATTCCAGGCACAGACGCTTCGCTCCAGAAGCAGTGTTCTGAACCCCTGCTTAGAACTACGCTACCCCTCAGAGCAGCAGCAGCTGATATCTATTGCTTTCTATATCCCAGGCACTGTTCTAAGCCCTAAAAACATTAAATTAATTTAATCCTCACTACAGCCCTTTGAAGAAGTTACTATGACTAGACCCATTATTGACAAGCAATCTGAGACACAGGGAAGCTAAATACCTTCCCAAGATCGTACAGCTAGTATGAGAGAGGACACAATCCTAAGCAATCAGGACCCAAGCTCCTCTCTGCTTAGTCTCCCAGAGACTCAGTTTCCCCATATGAAAAATGGCAACATGATCCCTAATTCACAGAGTGCCTTCGAGGATGAAATGAGAGAACACATGTGGGAAACGTGTTCATAATAGAACCTCTACAAATGTTATTTTCATTAGAAAACATTTTCCTCTCTGTAGGATTCAATTTCTTTAAACAAGAAGCTACAGTTTGGGGCTCGCTAAGGTTTCGCCTACCTGTGAACCTCCACAGTTTGAAGAACTGGGCTGCAAAGTTAGGGTGGGCCCACCTCAGAGGAGTGAGATGGGGTGGGAGTCGGGGTGAGGGTGGGAGGCGTCAAGACCTGACGCAAACAGATAGAGGAAGAAAAAGTCAGGAGGCAGGAGTGAGTGTGACATGTTCCGGACAGTCCCATCTTCCAACTTGGGCGCAGAGCATCACTTCTGTGTTCCCAAATAGCTGTGAAGTTCAAATAACAGACTCCAACTGACACATGAAAAGGGACACATGTAACCACTCACAGGCCAATTAATATCGGGGTGGGGAGAAAGCCATGGGAGGGGGAGGCCACTGGGGTTGAAGTGAGCAAAAGAATGATGGCCGTGCTTCCGGCCCTCCGGCTAAAATGGGCTATTATGTGTCATCAGGAAACTTAAGAAGGGGGGAAAAACAACCTCTGATCAAAGCCCCTTTTGTCAACTTCTAACAGATTAATAGATGACAGATTTTGCACTTAGAGCTCCACTGCAAGGTCAAGGGCAGTGAAACAGGGCTTGTTGGGACCTTTTTCTTCTTTCGTTCAGCTGCTAGCCTGCAGAACTCATCATTCTGACAGCCTGGCCGCCTGAGACAGCTCTAAGGAGGCCTGCCTTCCCCAGGGCTTTTGTGGGGGAGAGGCAGGGGCTCCTTTGCACAGCCTAGCCAGGCTCGCCTCCTGCCCACAGCCGCTTCCCTGCTCAGACTCCTGTTGGGGGTTCCTCATCCTTGGAGCCTCAAGCTCCTCATGGCCTTGCCCCCAATTCCCCGTTTATGGCCTCTTAGTGGCCTTCCATGGACCACAGAAGGGAGACACACTTCTAAACCTGGCTTCCCTCGGTGATTTGGCCCCACCCCGTTACCCCAGTGCATCTACATGAATCACACTGGATTGCTTGTGGCTCCTCGAACCCCCCCTTGTCCTTCTGCCTCCGTACCTTGGCCTTCTCTGCCACCCTTTTTGTCTTCCTGTCAACTTCCTACTCATCCGTCAAGGCTATGTCAGTGTCAACTCCTTTGAGAAGCCTGCTCTGACCCCCTGCCCTGCCCTCCCAGCCGGAGGAGAGACTCTAGCCTCTGTGACTCCCAGACTCACTCTTCAAAGAGGCAGCCTTCTGCGATTACCTTACTGTAGGATCATTACCTACTCATAGGCTCTTCCTCCCCACTTGGCTGTCTGCAGAGACCCGTGTGCTGCCTGGCATGGAGCAGGTGCTTCCTGTTACATAGAGGTGGGTGTGTGTTGGGTGATTCACCAAGGTGTGAAAGATTGTGGAGGAAGACTCTAAGGTCACCCTAATGATCCCCCAGCCCTGGCAGAACCTGTGACTTGCTTCTAACCAACAGACTATGGTGAAGGTGATGGGATCAGTCCCATGATTAAGTTACATTATATGGCAAGGATGATAGGCTGTCAACCTCATGATGATGTTGCTTTATGTAACACTCCATGCTGGCAGACACTGGAGGGAGTGACCCTCCTTGCCAGCTTGATGAAATAAGCAGCCACGATGAAGAAGCCCAGTGGTAAGGAACTGTGGGTGTGCAACTTCCGGGACCTAAGGGCAGCCTATAGCTCACAGCCAGCAAAATCCAGGGCCCTCAGTCATATAGCCAGGAGGAAATGAATTCAGCCAACAAGCTGAGTGAGCATGGAAGTTGATCTTTCCCCGGTCAAGCTTCCTGGGGAGAATGCAACCCAGCCAACACTTTGATTGCGGTTTTGTGAGATCTTGTGTGGAGGACCCAGCTAAGCCATACCTGGTCTCTTGATCCACGGAAACTGTGACACGATAAATGTGTGCCTCATTTTAAGTTGCTACATTTGTGCTAACTTGTTACTTAGCAGTTAAAAACTGATGTAGAGATCATTTTAAAAGTGCATTCTTTGGGGTCTGGAAGCCCTAAATAGTCCTAAGGAAATTCAGTTTCACTCTTATCAGGTAATATATTGGCAAGAAATTTTTGTCAACCAACTCAAACCAAGACTTCAGAGCAAGGGCCTGGAGAGTGACAGTGGGGTCAGGCCTTGGAGGAGAGAGACGTGGCAAGATGAGAAGCCACAGTCAGACAGGGAAGAGGAAGAGCCTGGATCTGAAAACAGGTTCTGGGGCTCAGGCTCTGCTAATAATCGGCTACCAGTCTTTGGGCAAGGCAGTTCACTCCGGGCCTCCAGGATCTCACATACAGCCGTGTTATGAACGGTTTGAGTTTTACAGCTTCCTCTGGATCTAGCATTCTGAGTCAACGATGGTTCAATTTTGCCAGGGAACTCTATATTTCAGAGTTTAGTCAATCTTTCACTTTTCATTCAGAATAAGTTACTTATACTTTCAATAGTTTTAGGATCTCTTATCATAAAAGATACATATTTACTAACACCATTAAAAAAGAGAGAGAGAGACCTAAATTGAGTTAGAGGAGGGGACAGAAACCCATACCAGAATCCCAGGCTAAGGTCGACATCTGCTTGCCTGGTTCCCTCCCCCTCCGCATGTTTCCTATAAGGGATATAGTCCATGTGCTTGGGGAGGGGCTAATATTGTCCCTCTTCCCATCTATAGGGATGGTCACATGGCCCATATTTGGCCAATCAGAGTACCCCAAGTCTCTGGCCACTGGGATTGGTTCAGAAATGAGCATCTGTGCCGAGCAGGACCAGTCAGATTCCTCCAGTAGGACTTTGCTGACGGAACTGGTAGAAAGATTCTCTTCCTGCTGGACTTGCTGAACTCGCAGACTGTGTGTTTGGGGCTCTGATGGCTGCCCTGTGGAGAAAGCCTGTCTGAGATCTAGGAAGGGAGCCCTGGTAACACTGAACGCCTGAACCCAGCCATCTCTGAAGCCGTCTGCACTTACTTGACCTGATAAATTATCTTTTTATCTAAAGTAGTTTGGGTTGGGTTTCTGCCACTTGTAACCAAAAGAATCTTAGCTCATGTAGATAGTTATTTCAACTGACCATATAATTTAGCCCTGTGTCTCTTGGATACCAAAACAAAAGGGAACCACATTGCATCAGAAGCTCTCATCCTCTCAGACCTGAAAGGCCAAGAAAGAGAACCTTTTCTCCAGCGCTTGGGCCTTTTTCTCATGGTCTTTCCCATTGGTGGGCCAGAGCACCATCTTCCCCAGCTGCTTCAGAAATGACGCAGAAACATTCCTCATATGGCTGGTTGCCTTTTGGACTGAGCGTCGACAAAAGACCAGCCACAGAAACCGAGCGTCAGTCAGCGCTCACGAAGACCTCCTGAGCTTTCAACCAGACAGGCAAACGGGCCAGGAGGCTTGGGGTCCAGCCATGAATTGCCTCTGGCCCCTCTTCCCGTAGCCTCCGCAGGAGCATCTCCTCCAACTGCCGGGCTGAGGTTGGACTCCAATCCGTCATCTCTTTGGTTGGAAGGTTGGTGTTTCCTTGCAAGGGACCACAAAGCCATATTACATTCAAAGTTAAATAAACAAACGTTTGAATCTGTGTTTTATTGGTTCCATACCATCTGCCATCTGGTTTGGGGGAGCAAGGAAAACTGTGGTTTTGTTGGTTTTGTGTGTGTTGTTGTTGTTGGTTTTTTGCTTTTTTTTCTTTTCCCTGTGAAAATTCTCTAAGGTTGAATGCTGGCAGCAGTACTGGCTGGTTAAAAGCCACCTACTTTCCCACGTCTTAACTTGCAGCTAAACGTTGGAGGCTGGTCTGGGTCTCCATCTGCTAAGCAGCCTGTTGTGTGAAAATGAGATCTATACATACGCAGAGCTCCACAGCCTGGCTTCCAAGATCTAAAGAATTGTTACAGGCGAACCGCCAGAAGCGCTTATTTAATGTCGACAAGCTGCACCCAGACCAAAGGCTAGAGCAGGGCATATGGAAGAGGAACAGAGGAAACCTGGTGTCTGAGCACCCCGGGCTGTCAGGAAAGGCAGCTCCGCCTTCAAGACTCGGGTTGCTAGAGATGTCAAGCTTGTAATCACTTGAAGGAGAAAATACGCCCCAGACCCTGGGTGGGAAATATGCCCCAGCCTGCCTGAAATCTTGAATCTGGAAAATGCAGTGGTTGTGGGGGGTGAGAGGGGGCACATTGCATGGTGGGGGTGTGGTGAGGGCCAACAGCTCAGTGTTTTCTGTTGGCCCAATGGAGCAGCTTTCAAGGGGGAGAAATTTACTCTCAAAGCTTCAATTTCCACGACTTTTAAACCAGGTCTTCAGCTTCCTCATCTATAAAATAAAGTCAGACTTGGGCATGGGTCACAAATGCACATGGCACAGGGCCAAGCAGGTAATGAAAATGAGTGAGGCCGGCCAGGTGGGGACCAAGGAAAACATGCTTTTAGCTAAAGGGTGGCAAGGACTCACTGGCTCCAGCGATGGTGGGCATGCAGTAACCCAGCCCAGTGGGGCCAGATTTTTCATGTGAAAATATCCAGTGTTTCAATGATGGCAGCTATTGCAATTTCTGAAAAAAATTCCAATCAAATGAAACCTGTCTGCAACCCGCATAAGACCCTCAGGTCTCCAGCTGGTGACCTCGGTGGAAGAACTCAAGGAGACAGTCCGTGGGAAAGGTCAGGGACGAGGACCGTCTCTCTCCATGATGAAGGGCAGGAAGCCCAGTCCAGGCACACTGGTCCTGCTCTTATCTGCACGGGCCGCGGATGACACAGAGGGATTCTCCGGGCACTGGATCCTCCAAGTTTGGTACACAGAGGCTGGAAGGGTCCTCCTCAAGAGGCCCTCCCTCACTAATCCTGAGCCCTAGCAGGTGGTGAAATTCCAGTGCCAGGCCAGCCATTCCTCCCAGCCCTTACTGACACAGTGACTACTCTGGGCCTTTCCAGCTCTGGGGGTCCCTGGTCTCTCAGCTGCACCATTCATTGGTGGGAAAGAAATGAACTCTGCCGTGTGTGCATATGACATCCTTGCTGCACACGCCCTCCGGGGCCCTGCAGTTTGGTCCCCTCCCAACCACCCTTTTATAGTATCATGAGTTAGCAAGTCGGTGACCTGCACAAAGTGAGACACAGCCATTTAATCTCATGCCAGATGTCTCCTCACTTGGCACGATGTGGGACAGTCCTCACTGTCTCAGCAGCCAAAGAACTTAGTCTATTTCTTCTGGGGTTTTTTGCTGTTGTTGTGTCTTTTTTCTAATTGAGGTGTGAAAAACTCGGTTCAGTTGAAGTCTCCGATAAAGAAACACAATTCAGATTTCTTCAGTGATAAAATCTGGATATTTGTATTTCAAATAATGTGGCCCAAACAAAGCAAATTCCTCCTTTTTTTCCTTCTTTGGCTTAATGAATATCATTTATTCAGTATGAAATCTTTATACTGTATGTCCCATGTGTTAAGAATAAATGTACATTAAATCTTGGTAAGACGTTAAGGGAAAAAAAAGCAGGCAGGAGACCTGCCTCCCAGCAGCCGTCATCTTGCTCAGGGTCCTGGTGAGCCATTCAGTCCTCTGAGCTTCACTGGCCTCAACTGCCACGCGGATAAGAGGGTGCGTGGAGGGCCCTCCTGCTCCACCTTCCTGCAGAGCAAGCAGTGTGGTGGGGGAGGGGGAGAGCACAGGGGAGGAAGGGAGGCTAGCACGGAAAGAACTCCATCACCAGAACACCACCGGCCAGCAGACTATCTGCCTCACGGGCAGGAACAGTGTACAGAATCAAAGTCCACTTCTAGAAACATGAATAGACCGTGAGCTTGTGGGGGCAGAGAGTAGGTCCTGCCATCTTTGGGCCCCAGAGCCTAGCGTGACACTTGCGCAGAGTCTGTACCCAGTCATTGCGGAATTCACTCACGTAAGAATCAACTGGAACAGACTGAGCTGGCATTTCACAAAGCCCTTCCCCGCATTGAGCCTTGTAGCAATCTGTGAGGCAGGATGGGGCAGGCACTGTTGTTCTCCAAACAGAACAGGGAAACTGAGGCCCGGCAAGGTGAAGGGGCTTGTCAAAGGTGGGTTGGTAGAGAGACATCTAGATCCCAGGTCTCCCACCTCCTGAAGAATGATCTTCCTTTCTGAGCAGTGGCTCTCAGTGATCGTCAAGCCTCCTGGGGGCAGACGGTCTGAAGTGAAGGTGCCATCCGAAAGACCTAGAGATAAAGAAAATAACTAACTAGCTGGTTTGGTGTTAAATCAGATCCAGACTTACACCAGCTTCTAACATAGAGGTAATATCAGCCATCAAAGATTTAAGAAAATCCCTGGGAGATAAAATTAAAATGAAGAGAATTCTATTACTTACTTTATTTTTTTTCCCTGTGATTACATCATTATTTGATTTTTCCAGGGGCAACACCCCCACGCTGCTCCCACTCGTATGAAAGATGCACCCCATTAGCACTCACTGTGGTCTGCCCGGTGTCTGGCTGGGTCCCAGAACATCTTGGCATGTTGGGCAGGTCAGAGAGAGAGGCCTGGGCTCCCCAAGTCACGTGAACCCCAGGGCCAGTGAAAGGCAGGTGACTGACACGCATGCACACTTGCACGCATGCGCGCAGGCACTTACGCAAAGAAAGGAAACCACATTCGGTCTGGGCTGGCCCCAAGCTGAGGAAGAAACTTCGAAGAGTGACTACCTTACTCAGTAAATCAAGATGTGGGATTCAAACCACTTCCTCCTCTAGCTTTGTGTTAGGAGCATCATATACCTGCTCTTGGGGCATGCTTACAACCCTCGGAGGGAGGAGTCGCTACCGCCATTACACAGATGCAAAACCCACTCAGACGTCAAGTGACTTACCCACGAACACAACTAGCAAGAGGCAGTGCTGGAATAGGCATCCAGATCTGCTTCACCTACTAGAAGAGACCTCCCTGGACTCTACCCTCCAAGGACTCCTGGATGCTGAGGTCCGTAGCCCCTGGTCCGTGGAGATGTCCAGGCTGCTGCCCAGAATTGAACCATGGGCCATTTCCTGTGCTTTCATCTGACCCATCAATTCCAGCTGAGTGTCTGGGACAATCCCCACCCATTTCCTGGGCTCATTTCCCCAGAAGGAGATTCTGTAACATCCTCTAAGTGCTGTGGCCTTTCATCTAGTTAGACACTCCCTCAGGGGCTCAGTTTAAATTACAAGGCCCAGATGTACATTTCAGAGAACATCCCGCAAAATCTTTGGTTGGCTAACAATGAGACCTCTTTAGGCAGAAGGCCTTTTCTATCATTCAAGCCACTGCCCACCCCTGCCTACCCCTGCCTGCTCCCTCCCTCTCCCAGATGGAAAGACAGGAGTCTTGGGTCCTGAGGTTGTGGGCTCTTTGGGTTAGGTGTCGAAGTCAATGAGCCCCATTCAATCTGATCCCTGCTCTGCACTCCCTTGGGGGGCTTAGGCAGCCTCTACTTGGCCATCTCCTGCCACGGGGAGCTCACCACCTCTCAGATAATCTTGCAATTCAGGCAACACTGAGCTTTGGACGTGCTTCCTCAAATGAGCTGGCATCTGCTTCCCTATTCATGAGGACCCACTCTTCTCATTCTTCCACTTGGGCCACACAAGAAAAGGCAAATGGCTCCTCAACACTGTAGCCACACCTTGCAGCAAAGGCAGCAATTTCTAGTCTTAGATGTAACTCTAATCTCTCTACACACTTGGGTTAGTCACGTCTCTCCTTTCTGACCTCAATGTCTCATCTGTAAGATGGGGAAGACTGGACAGAGTGCCAGCTAACTCCCCTTCCAGATTTGTCCTTAGGACTATGCCACGGAAGGCTTGGGCAAGGACTTGAGGCCCCTGAAAGCCAGCATTATGAAAACCATGAACAGCATCTGCATTCCTGGTTCCTGATCTGGTATACTGTTTCCACCCGTGGAGACAAAAGAGCATCACCGAGATGTAAACGCAACCTAAGATGAGGAGGACCACCCCACAGCTGAAGGGGAAGTGACTAGTTGTGGTTCAATAAGTTTCCATGAAGAAAGAGAGCTTGTAGCATGAAGGCGACCCAGGAGGAGAGAAGGAGCCTGAGCTGAGTGATAAAAGACAAGGATTGGTCCCAGCTCAGTCATCAACTAGCTAGCTGATCTTGGGCGTGTTGCTTGACCTCCCGGGTCCTTGACCTCTTCCTCTGCTAAATGAGAGACATTGGAACAGCTGATCTCTAAACTCAAGAAGTCAGAGAATCAATAGGAAACATAAAAGTGGGCCAAGAATATAGCTTGGAGTTTGATCAGCTTTAGTAAAGCTATCCACAAGGCTGGTGGGCAAAGGGCACCACACAAATATGAATGAAGCTCTGAGAGGCTGGAGACCACGTGTTTGTCCTCTCTAAAGCCTGGTGCCTGGCCAAGGGAGGCCCTTCCTAAAGAGGGGAGGGTTCAAGGGCTGGTATGGCAGAGACAAAGGCTGGAATCTGGGTCTAGGCTCCCCCATTGCTTACAAGGGCCTTAGGCACGTCGTGTAACTTCTCCAAGCCTCGGTTCCCTCATCCTTCACACAAGGGCCATCCCTTCTGTTGCACGAAGTTGTTGTGAGGCTTAAAAGGATTAAATGTCTGGCACACAGTAGGAGTCCAGCTGCAGGCTCTGGTCGAAGCTGGTCATCTGTGTGCCTGCATGGAAGGAATAAGCCTTAGTGAAATTCTGGAACCTTCTTAGTATTTAGCAGCCTGTAAGGACCTTGATCCTGCATCTGACTCAGAAATACCTCTCTCTCTGTCTCTTTCTCTCAGACACACACACACACACACACTCATACACACACACGATAAAAGAAAGAGAAAACCACAGTCAGCCTGGGGTGTCCCCAGGCAAAGGAAAAACGTGCAGAACAAGTACCCGATGCAATAAATCAAACTGCGGAATCCGAATCTGAGCCAGGGTCCAACCTCTAGCTCCAGTTGCGTCAGAGGCTGGGCCGTACTCTCTGTTCCTGCAGCCAGCAATACCCAGAGGTCTGGCCAACTCCTCAGGCCGCTCCCGAGAGGGTCAACCCCTTCAAGGGAGCTCCAGAGGGCCCAGAGTGGGAGGGAGAGAGGAGAACCAGACTGCTGGCCACTGGGATGTTTAGCTTAGCTAAGCCAAGAAGATAGCCATAAAACCTGGCTGTGGCAAACCGCCCTGATTCCCAGAGTGTTGATGTTGGAAGGGGTTGTAGAAAGACATGGAGGTGTGTGCGCAAGAGCCCCCAGTGGGAGGTGGAGACCCAGCTGTAGATGCGCCTCAGCCCCTAATTGCTGGGTGCTGACTCCAGGTGAGTAACTTCCCTTCTCTGGGCCTTGATTTTCTCATAGAAAATGAGGGGCTTAGATTACTAGAGAGCCTCTAAGAGCCTTTTCTGCAGGGTGATTTTGCCAAATTTCTCTGATATAGTTTAACTAGTCTGCTTCTCGCTGGGATTCAATTCATTTCAAGAAAGCAGTTACTGAATCTTAATTGCATGCCAGGCACTTGTGCTGAGCTCGAGTTGGGCCAAGAAGAAAAGACATGGTTCCCATTTTGCTGCTGCCAAGGAGCTCACAGTCTTATGAAGGGAAGCATATATTTAATGAAATGAGTATAATACAAGACAAACACATACCATAGCGGCAATCCATTCTCCTGGGGAGACTGGGGAGGATTCCACAGAAGAAAAGGACACCTGAGTGAGAGTTTGAGAGATGAGTAAGAAGTTTCCAGAATACTGAAGGCAGAGGGTACAACAGAAATCAAATCAAAGGGAAGTATCAGTGGATATGAATATTCATCTTTGTGGTTGTAGCATGGAGAGAGATGGAAGGACATGAGACTGGAAAGACAAGCTGAGGAGAGAGCATGCAAGATCATGAATAAGAGCCAAAGAATTAGTTCTTCATCCCGTGGGTAATGGGGAGCCATAGAGACGAGTTCCTGGGAGAGGAGTGACAAGATCAGATCTGTATTTCAGAGTGTCCATTTTGGCAGCCATGTAGACCCCTGGATCAGCAAACCACAGCCCTGGGTCAAATCCGGTCCACGGCTCTTTTTGTACGGCCTGTGAGCCAAAAATATTTTTTATAATTTTTTACTACAACTTTATTGAGATATAATTCACAAACCATATAATTCACTCATTTAAAGTATACAATTCAATGGCATTTAGCACACTCACAAAGTTGTGGAACCATTACCACCATCACTTTTAGAATATTTTCATCTCTTCAAAAGGAAATCCTGTACCTCTTAGCTATCACCCCCCCACCCTCTCATCTCACCCTCAGCCCTACTTCCTGTCTCTATGAATTTGCCCGTTCTGGATATTTCACATAAATGGAACCTATAATATATGGCCCTTTGTGTCTGGCTTCTTTCACTTAGCATAACGTTTTCAAGGTTCAACCATATTTTAGCATGAATCAGTATTTCATCGCTTTTCGTGGCTGAATAATATTCCCCTGAATGGACAGACCACATTTTGTTTACCCATTCGTCAGTTGACGGACATTTGGGTTGTTTCCACCAAAGACGAATATACCACGTGGACGTCTGTGGCTCACAAAGCCTAGATATCTACGATCCAGCCCTTCACAGACCTCATGCAGGCCTTGGAGAGCAGGGCAGCAAGCCTGGACGTTAGAAGCCAAAGTCAGGGGCTCTGACAGATCCAACCTGAGAGAGGGGGAAGGAAACATTGGGTGGTAAAATCAACTGGACTTGGTGACTAATCACATGTTTGGGTGAAGGAGAGGCTTATTGAGGAAAATTCATTTACCATGAAGAAACTGAGATTCAGAGATGGAGTAGTCTATAGTGAAGACATTGGCTGATGGCAAAGCTAAGCTGAGGACCCAGTTCTTCTCTTGAATATAACACACAGACTTGTGAGATTTCTGAGCATCCTTAATGGGGAAGCAGACTAAACCGGTGGCCTCGACCTTGCTATATGAGGCTTTCACCACTAGGCTAACCAGCCACAGGCATGCATCCCACAGTGGTGTGTTGCCTCATGAAAACCTGACAGTGTCTCCTGGAGCCACCTGGCATGTGAATGTCTTGTGTGTCCCTCAAAACACCTTTGCAGGCTTCTCCTGCTGAAGTCCCTTCCTAACAGAGGAGTGGATGGGTCCCCCTCTGCTGTCTTCCTCGACCATTCCAGTCCTGCCTCCAAATCTGTGAATCAACGCTGCGCTCATCACGGTGCTGAGGCACACCTCTGCTCGGGTACACAGCAGATGTGGCCGCAGTGCTGCTACCAAGGTGGCCTGGGAGAGCAAGACTTACGGATGCCACAAAGCTCCCAGGCGTCAGGCCAGTCCCCCAGGGGTGCTGATGAGCCAAGACAAGGGGTTTTCTCTGCAGTACTTATCTCTGATAACTGTGCCTTCCAAGCTCCTTCAGCTTCTCCGGACTTCAAAAGAATCCAAAATCTAGCTTGGCGAAGAAAACTCTTCCCCACCATACCTCTCCAGCCACACCCGCTCCTCCCATGTCTGCGCTCTGCTTCTCTCACGCTTCTTGTTCCCCACACTCCCCAGGTCCCTCTCCTGCCTCTGAGCTTTCCTTCTCCCTCTCTTAGCATCGTCCTTCTCCATGGACTTCTTCACCCAGAAAACTCCTGTTTATCCTTTAAAACCCATTCAAATATTTTGCCTCCAGGAAGCCTCTCCCTCCAGCTCTTGTTCATATTTATTGGCCACACTGAATTGTGATATTCCTGTTTTTGTATCTTTGTCCCCGACTAGGCTATGCCTTTTGTCTGTCTCCAGGGGTTTAAGGGAGAGCCAAGCCTATGGTCTGCACCCTCTAAATATGTGCTGGATGAGTGAGTGAGCTGGCCCATACTCTTTCCCCTTGTCCTTCAGTTTCAAGAGGGATTTCATTCCTGAAGCCCCTCTGGATCTTTGAGAGGAAGCCGCTCCCTGCCTGTCCTTGTTCCCTTCTATTGATCCTGGGATTTATGGCACTATTGTTTCCTTTTATTAGGCTGTAATGGCCTCCGTTAAAACGTGTTACATGGAAATAGGCTAATTAAGTGTGTCAAATAAGTCACCATCCCACAGAGTGGCCTGCCCTCCCAGCAGTGCTGTGGGGCCACATGGTGGAGGGAGGCAGACAGGGTACAGGAACAGCATGTGTTCCTTACCCATTTCTCAGAGCAGTGGAGGCCCCAGCCTGTGTCTCAGGCCTCACCCCATTGCCCTGGGCGCTTCCTGAAGACAGTGTGAGATGCCATTCCGAGCAGCTCTGTTCACCCGTACAGTCGGAGTTGACAGCACCCACGTCGGCAAACTTGCTTCCTGCTCCTCTGCCTGTGCCTGGTCCGGGTCCTCACAGGAAAGAGGAAAGAGCTCACGTCTCCATTCCAGAGGAACTTCTATTAGCGAGCCGGAGATGATCAGACTCTCATGGGAAACCTGTTTCATCCACCTCTCTCTGTTTCCAATCCAGCCACACTTCCCAATCCATGTGTGTTTGCAGGAAGCCCAGCTGGCAGGACATGCTCCAGTCCTCAGAGGAGAAGAGCCCGCCTTTTGAGGCATTTCCCTAGGCCCTGGGGCTAGTGAAGACCGGACTCCAAGACAGTTGTGTTTTCTTTCAGACAACACTGATATCATTCTGGGTTCTTCTTGTCCATGAGGGAATGGAGTATTTGATGAGATTCTCATAAGAAAGAGCGCCTTGAGAAAAGGGACTTTAACTCATACGACAACTTTTCAGTTCTGTTGTACCATTTGTATAAGCCTCGTCATCTGCTTTGCTGAGTCCATTCTTTAAGGAGCAGCTGGGTCCACTGCCTTCTCCTTCCTTGGACTTCTAAAGATGAACTGCCTGCATCAGCAAGTCTCGAAACACTAAGCCAGTGGGATGATGGTAGGATTCTGTGCTCAGAGAAGTTTGGGGGACGCTGTGTTAGCAGTTAGACAGGCTCATTGACTGCAGGACTTTGCAGGGCCCTCAACATGCTAATGCACATTATAAATCTTCAAGAAAAGTGGGGCAAGTCCCTACTTTTTATGACCCCTCCTCAATATTAGAATCATATATCCTTGCCCTTAGCTGTGTGACTTTGCAGTCCCTCCCACTAGATTAGGCCACATATATTTCTAGTTCCCACTGATGTTCAGCTTGGTCATGCGACTTACTTTGGGCAATGGAAGGTGGGTGGAAGTGGGTGTCTCAGAGCTGAAATGGTAACAGGCATGGCAAGTGTCTGCTAGTCTTCTCTCCCATTTTTGTCACTGCCATGAAAAGCGCACACCCCCAGTAGCCATTGTCCCAGAATGCAGCTGGTGGAGAGACTCAAAACCAACCTATAATCTGAAGTAGGGTTGCCCCAGGCAACCCCTAGGTCCAGGAATGAGACGGCAGCGTTGGGATGGTTGGTCCCTTAGCAATAACTGACTGTATGAGTTTCCTACTGCTGCTGTGACAAGTTACCACAAACTGAGTGGCTTAAAGCAACACGCATTTATTCTCTCACAGTCCTGGAGGTCAGAAGTCCAAAATCAGTCTCACTCAGCTGAAGTCAGAGTTGACTGGGCTGGTCCCTTCTGGAGGCCCCAGGGGAGAACCAATGGCCTCACCTCCTTCAGCTTCTAGTGACCACCTGTATTCCTTGGTTCATGGCGCCCTCACCATTTTCAAAGTGTATCACTCCAATTTCTGCTTCTATTATGACATCACCTACTCGTCACTTTGACCCTCCTGTCTTCTTATAGGGAACCTTGTGTTTACACTGGGTCCACCTGAATAATCCAGGATAATCTCTCCATCTCAAGATGCTTAACTTAATCACATCTGCAAAGACCTTTTTGCCATACAAGGTAACACCCCCAGGTTCCAGGATCAGGACATGGATGTATCTGGGGTCCATGATTCAGTTTACCACACTGACTGATACAAAAAAGGATAAAAATATATAGGATTTTCCTAAATTATTTGGAATTTTTTTCCAGAGAGCATCTCAGAATATCTCCTCCCTCCTTCTGAGGATACCACTTTTGGAAATTGGGCTCTCCCCCTGTAATTTGGCATTTCTACTGCTAACCTGCAGTTATTGGTAAATGGATATCCCAGCCATTTTCTTTGCTTGGAGTTCTCCTACTTTCCTAATCTGTAAATAGGGAGAGCATCAGTCTGTCAGGGCTGAACTGGTGATGGAATTACATGAGATCATTTTGAGCATGTCTACACTGCTTAAACATAACTTCTCAAAAAACAATATTTGCCTTCTCTGCCTGCCTTTGCTGGAATGAAGAGAAACTACGTCATACACATAGTTGACTACACGGCCGGCAGTAAATGCTCTTTGGCTGATGGAGGCGCGGTCTCCCTGATACCTCTATCCCTGCATTCCACCCTCTGCCCTTCCTTCTGCAGTGTTAGGCAGGCAGCATGCATGGGTCCTGTGTCTATCTGCCCTGTTGTCCCCTAATATGTGGAAGTCCCTGGAGGAGGCAGGCAGGAAGTGTGTTGCATGAGTGAATGAGCCTGACTCACCACTCAACGGCCGTGTGACTTTGGGAGTGTTCCTTGTTTCCTTGGGGCTTTGGTTTCCCCAAGAAACCGAACAGCTAACAGAAGGCTAGACTAGGGGCCGTGTGGCCTTTCCCTACCAGCTCTGAAACCCTCGAGTCTGTGACTCTCCCTTTCCCCCCCATTTTGCTCAGCACAGTCTCTGGGCCCCACTGGTGCTAAATAAATGTTTGGTGAGTAGCACACTGGCACCCTTTTTGTGCAATCTTTTATTTTGCGTTTTAGTGGGCTCTTTAAACCAAAATAACATTCAAAGACCAAAAGAAAAAATGGCAAATTGCTCAGACTCCAGAACAGTTCACTGGGACATATTCATGACTATTGGGCCTTTCTAGGGACCTCGAATCGCGCCCCGTGAAACTGATGCTGGGAAATAAATGCCACGAGTGAGTCCTGTGTCACCGGGAGAATCACAGGCTGCAAACCCACTGGAAAGCTCTGGGCCTGAAACCTACAAAACCCTGTAGCAGGGTCTTTTCACAGACGAAAGAAAGATCTATTTTGCGAGAGAAGGATGACCAGGAAAAGGGTTAAGCCTAAAAGTTCCGTTTCGTCTACTCTGCCTGCTCTAGAATCTGGGATAATTCCTGTCATTAATATTTTAAGCAACTAATTTGACATTTTTCCATTTAATTAACTTGCATACATATGAGAACAGGGTTTTGAGAGTACCATGACATTTAAACAAAGTCATTTAAGTTCTCCCATTTCTGGTGGAGTGCTGCTTTTTTCCTTGGTTGTTTCTTTTTGCTCCATTTCTGTTTTGCATTCCTGATTCTAAGGCTGGCTTATTAGCTCAGGGAAATGACCAGATTTCCCAAAGCAAATGTCGCACAGCCTCAACCCAGGTGACGTGGGTGGGCCTGGAGCTCTGGGCTTCGTGGGGCTCTTTTAAACTCGATGCTGCTCTTTTCCATGACTTTTTACAAATGGTGTTTCACTCAGACCAGGCTCGCGTCACAGGCTAACGTCTTCCTGTTGCCACACCAACCCCGGGTGGGAGTGGAGGAGGGGCAGCGGGAATGCAAAACATTCATCAGATGTAACCATCGCCAGGGAGGAGCGAAAACAATAGCTCCGTGAGGATTTTCTCTTCCAAGTGACAAATAATTGCTGTCATATCATCAAATGATTAAGAAATAAAGGAAAATAGACAAATGGAGTGTATCTATTGAGGGATGGCGTGGGGAGGTTGGGGAGAGACTCACTCATGTTCCATAATTGAAAAATTGCACCCTAATTAGCTCCCACCCCAGAGAATTCATGAGTTCTCTGCGCCATCCAACCTGCAGCTTGCCAAGTCCCGAAACTTTAGCCATTAAAGTTGACTGCTAGTTTCAGAAGGGGCTGTGCGTCTCCAAACACATTCAGAGAGGGAGACTCTTCAGCTCGCCCAGCCTCCACAAAGTATCCATGACTTCATACTTTCATCTGCCATAATTCATCACAGATCGTCTCTGCCTATCAATGGCTCCAGCTGCTCTCCCCAGATGAACCCGGGCACTCACGTCTCCAGCTTATCGTTGGTGGCCAGCCCAGCCCGGCCCAGGCGCAACACGGGAGCCGCATTCCCAGGATGCAAAATGGCACCCCCTAATCCCAGGCGTCACAGGGGAGAAGGGGTCCTGCATTGAAAATAAAATCCCAATGCAAACAAAGCTCAAGACTCTGGAGAAATTCCACGTCTTCATGTCCACCCACACTCAGGATCTTCTTTGGGGATTTCTAATGAGGCTGTCAGAGACTTGATGAAGAATTGTGCTGTAAGAGAGGCATGTCCCCTTTCTCCTCCACTCCCTCTCCCTGGACCTGGGTTTAGATCCCAGCTCCATGACCTCATTAGCTGCATGACCTTGGGAAAGTGACTTGGTCTGTCTGAGCAGGAGTTTTTGCTTTTGTAAAATGGAGGTGAGAGCACCTGGCTTTCAGGAATATGATGGTCCTTGGATGATGCCATATGTAAAGGATGCGTGTCCGGGTTGCTCGCAGGGCCTCTTGATCCTTACAGGTAAAGGGGGGATAGTAACACCCCCTGCCACTAGGGTTTTAGTGAGAATTGAGCAGAGAATGCATTACACATGTGTAAAGTGTCTTGGATGAAGTTGGTGCTCAGTATATACTTGAATTGATCTGCATCATACATAATTGGTTCATTCATTAATTTAATCCATCAGCTAGTAGCTGTTAAATGACTACTTATTCTCAGATACTTTGTGTATATAGGATATACAAGGGGGACTGAGACAGACGTGATTCATGCCCTCAGGAGCTTACGTTCTAGGGGAGACACAAGGAAAAGCAAATTCTAAAGACACACACAAGTTGTATAAAAACTTCTATTAAAAAATAGCCAAGAACACAGATATAGGCTAACAGTTGGGTGGTGACTTCTAAATGAAGACCTAGAGGCTAAAGAGATAAGCATGTGAGGAATGATAGGGAAAAGCATTCCAAGCAGAGGGAACAGCATAGGACAAGCAGAATCTTAAGATATTGCAGGAACTGAGAAAAGGCCATGAGTCAGGGTAAATGCTGCTAGAGCACACAGTCCCAAATCTCAGTGATTTCAGACAATAAAAGTTTATTCCTCAAATAAGGTGTTCAGTGGGTGGTCTTTCACTCAGTTATTCAAAACCCAAACTCATTCTAATTAGGTGCTCTGCCATCTGCAAGGTCTCCTTGGAGTTGTCCATTATATCCTCTGCACACAGCCAAGAGCAAAGAGAAAACGCTCCTGGGACATTTGGGGGCCAAGCCTGGAGATGGTATATGTCACTTGCACTCATATTCCTTTGACTGGAACTCAAATATATGGTCCCGCCTAACTTCAGAGGAGCCAGCTTTGTGCAAAGGAGGACAATAAACAGGTGAGGAGAACACATAGCAATTTTTCTGCCTCGCAAAGCAAGTCATGGTAGGTAGCATGGCATGAGATGAGAAATAGATGGCCAGGTGGCACAGGGTCACTAAATCAGGGGAAGTGTGAGGTTCACGTGAAGAGGAGGAGAAGGCATTCCAGGGTATTTCTTTTACTCTAGTTTGGATTTTATTCAATAAGAACAGAAAGCCAGTCAAATCAATGACACAATCTGATTTATATCTTAAGAGGACCCCTCTGGCTGCGTGAGAAGAACACATCTGCAGAGGGCAATAATGGCCTCTTGAAAGGCCCTTGGATTAGGGTGATGAAAAAGAGCACGGACATGGAGAGACGGTGACAGATGCAAAAGATTTCAGTCCCATTGGAATTGGTTTCAGTCTCACTGGCCAGCCAGCGTGCAGGCTCCTGCTGACCAACTGGTGTAACAAGCAAGGCTCCAAAAGATTAGAGAAAACACAAAAGTACTGGGCAAGGCAGGTGGCTGTGCAGAGTGGAGTAATTCCAAAAATGACCACCTGGGCCAAAAGCTGGGGGTCTGCTTCCCTGCTGGCCCTCTGGCCCGGGGCAGCAGCACAGCCTCTCCAAGCCCTCCACTGTGGTGAGAGACGTTAACCTTCGACCAGGCTGGATGCCACTGGTCCCAGTGCAGGTGGCCAGAGGGCAGCTGGGAGGGGGTGGACAGTTTGCACAGAGCGTGACCACTCACAGAGCACAGACTCCAAGTTGTTCCACTTAATCCTCCCAACTGGGCTGGGAGGCCGAGTGACTGCTGATCTCATTTTACAAAGGAACGGACTCGGGGAGCTCCTGTGGCAGGATCTGTCTACACTCACAGGGAGACCAAAGGGTGATTGTGGGTCTGCCTGGGTCTCTCCGCAGTGCCTGCTTCAGGCCAACACGGCTGTGGCCTCCCTGAACCGGATGCTGTCCAGTCCCATGGGGTACCAGTTGTCCCACTGAGCAGTGCCTTTGGACAGGCCATTGGCTTACAAATCTGGCTGATCTTCGGAATTATCTGGCAGCCTTTAAACACACACCATCCTGACCTAACCGAGATGTACTGAAGCAGAATCTCTGAGTGGAGGGGGACCTAGTGGCTGTATTTTTAAAGTCTTCCCAGACACACAGTGACACGGGGCTCCGAGCAAAGCACTGGGGCGTTGTCAGCATGTGCATGGTGGGTTAGGTGAGAGTCCGGGAGGAACAAATATTAGGTGATGAACCAGCGACCGAGCCAGGAGGAGAAGCCAGCTTTCCTGCCTGTCTTGTCTTTTCTCCGCAGGACTGTCCTGACGTTCTGCAGAAGGCTGTGGGAAAATCCCTCTCTATCAGCAATCTGAAAATGTCAGAGCTGGGCAGGAGCTCTGAGGTTATCTTCCCAACCCACTGGTTCCCAATTGCCCCCCAGACCAGCTGTGTCAGAGTCACATGAGGTGCTTGTTACAACACGGCTTCCCGCCTCCCTCTGCACCTACTGTATCAGCACCGGCGGGATGCGACCTTGAAATCTATACATTTTAAAGCATCTCTGGTGATTCTGATATCAGCCATGTTTGGAGACCACTGATCTAGCCCTCCTCATTTTACAGTTGATAAAACTGAGTCCCAGAGAGAAGTGATTCACCTAGGATCACTTAGCCTGGAAGCCAAGTTTTCTGGCTCAGGCTAGAGCTCTTTCCACTACCCCTCACTCATCGGAAAGCCCGGCCACGTGTGGGGGCAGGAGGCAGTGGTCAGCCAAGCGCAGCGGCGAGGGACCATTATGCTGAACGAGCTGCCTCCGAGAGACAGCTAATTAGCTGACTGCAGCCGGTCTCCTTCCCCTGTTATCGATGCCTCCTCTCCCTTCTCTTCCTGGTCCTTCCCCTGGCTCATCCTAACATGATCAATTACTCACAGGAATAAATTATGCACACCCCCTACAGTCTATTAGGAAGTCAGCGGTGCGCTGGCTCAGGGAGCCAGCAGGCAAGACAGACTGTCTGGAGTGAGGGCCAGCGGGAGGGAGAACGTGGGCCCAGGGGGTGGAAGAGGGCCTTCGTGGAAAAGCCCCAACTCTCCAAGCAACGGTTGAACTGTCTGGGCCCCCAGAGATGGACTTTCAGGCCAAACTTGGAAATGACCTGCGGAACAACTGCTGCTCTGCTCAGGCTGCAGTTCCGCAGGCCGCCCACCTCCCCAGCCGCGCGCCACCCACCCCCCACCCCCACCCCACAGGAGGCCTACCTCTGACACAGCTGGAACTAGAGCCTGCTTCTCAGAGCTTGATGTGCTCACGAAGCCCCCTGGGGATCCCCTTTCAAGGGAGGTTCGTATTCAGGAAGGCTGGGGGCCTGGAACTCTGCATTTCTGGCAAGCTCCCAGGACATGCCAATACTGCTGGCCTGAAAAACAAGGGCTAGAGATGAGTGGCCGCCAGCCTGCTGACTCGGAGGCTGTATCCGGGAGAGCCCCTCTGCCTGTGCTGTCTCCCTGCCCGCACTGCTCTGCCCCTCGGACCTGCTTAGGAAACTCCTATTCACTGTTCACATTCCGGCCTGGACAACGCCTGCTCTCTCAAGTCTTCACTGACCCCCTCCGGCCCCAAGTAGATCTAGGGGAAGTGACACCTTCACTGAGCCCTGATCACACTCTGTACAGCGATACGTACTCTTTGGTGACAGTAGTTTGTCCGTGCATCCCTCGATGGCCCGGGAACTCCGTGAAAACTGTGCGGAGCCTTTCATCTCTCCATCTCCAAGCCCGAGATGGCTGTTAGCCCCTAGGCACTAGAGCACCTGAGAACTTGTCGAAGATCCCTGAAAAAGTCTGAGGCCCCAAAAGTTATTGGATCCAAAACACGAAGGAAAAACTTTGCAATAGAAATTAATAAAATTTTAATGAAACATCTACAAAACAAATATTACATCAACCTCATTAATAGTTTCACTAAGTATTCATAAAAATTCATAAAAATTTCATTATATTTGAGAGCAATGTGCAGGTTAGATGTTCTCACTTTGCAAGAATTCCTGAGTACCTCAATAATTGCTGAGAAATCAAAACCAACCCTAAATTGAATGAATTACTTGTAGCCAAATAATTTCAAAAGCAAAATTATAAAGATAATCCTTTTTTTTTTAACAGAAAAGTATATACTTAATATGGAATATGGGTGAATTTCAGTATGTTTAATATGTCTGAGGTGGGGCTTCCAAAGCAAGTGTATCTAGGTCTTAGAAAGTCTGGAAGTTATCTTGATGTCTGGCTGGGGGGAAGCATGCAATAGACTTCTGAATGATGGACGAATAAATGGCAACCCAAAGTGTACCTGAAAAGTGTAAAGGGGGGAGGGAAGAACAACAGACAGGAGAAATTCATAAAATGGAAGCCAAAGTTTTAAGACAAAGGAAGTCCTTGTGAGCAAGGACTCCGCCAAGTCCCAACTGGACAGAGACAGGCGATATCGCCCCCTACTGGCTGGAGGAGTCCTGTAGGGTCCACATACTGTGGCTTCATTAATCCATCTGTCATTGTTGCTTCTCCAATGCCAAGAACATCAAAGTCCCTTGGAATTGCCTCAAAGAGAGAAATCAGTGGTCCCTGAGGATCAAGACTCAGCCTCTCCTCTGGGAAGGGGGCTCGAGGGGAGCTTTATAACTGACTCTGTGTCAGACATCCTGAAACGGATCCAAACCCATCTTGAACCGATTTCTACCTTCCTCCTGAGCCACCTCTTGGTTAACATGTTCCATATGTTTCCTTCTCTGATGGAAAATAGGCTTTGCTTTTATTTCAAAGGGCATCATTGAAAAGTCTGGGGGACAGGAGTTGGTTCTAACACAAGCAAGATTTGCGGAGTTCTAAGGAAGCAATCAGAGATCAACGGAGAGATTTATGTACAAGATGTTCACTACAGCATTATTTATAACAGTGAGATTGGACGCAGCCTAAACGCCCAGCCGCAAGGGGTTGGTTAAATAAATTCTGATCTATTCACACAATAGAAGACTACAGAGCTGTTAAAACTTGTGTTTTTGAAGATTATTTTATGGAAATAGCCAACCGTTAGTGAGCCCTTCGTAGGTACCAAGTGGTATTGTCAGTGCTTTACAAGTAGAAACTCGTTTCTTCTCACAACAATCCTATGAAGAAAGTATATTTGTATTCTCTCCATTGGACATACAGGAAACTGAGGCACAGAAAAGCCAACGTCACACAGCTCAAGGCATGCGTTGAACTGGCCCCCAGAGCTGAGCTGTCAGGCACTGCAGGATGCTGCCTCTCTCTAACAGAGGCTCCTTGAAATCCTGAGCCATGGGAGCAGGGGAGGGAGCGGTGAATTCCTTCCTGGGTAGACCGCTAGCTGTAACGAAGGAGGGCGGATCTGAGCTGCACCCCGAGAAGGATGAGGTCTTGGCCAGGCAGCTCTCACAAGGAGCATTTCTAGAGGAGGAATGAGCCCGAGTGAGATTCCAGAACTGGCAACATGTTGGGGGAGATCAGAAAAACCCAAAGAGGCAGGGGTGGCTGGCCCATCAGATGCGCTGTAATTGTCCACTGAAGACCGCCAAACAAACCACAAGGGACTGCGCAGAGGCCCTGTGGTGTGCGCCAAGGCGGGGACAGTAATAACTGAAACTGGTCATCTCACTGAGCCCACCTGGACACCATGCTGAGCGCTTTCTCCAGGTGTCTCATTAAATCCTGAAGACCACACCTCTCTTTGAGCCGTCATTATTCCCACTTCACAGGTGAGAAAACTGAGACCCGGCAAGAGTTAAGGAACTTGCCTGAGATCTCAGCTGGTAAGTAACAGTGGCTGGAGTTGAACCAGGTGGTGCGGAGGCCAATTTCCACATCCTCTCTCCTGGGGGGTGGGCTGCCACAGGCAGGGCTAGGAGCTCATGTTCATCGCCAAGCAGCGGATGCTGTTTTCCGTTCCATCTCAGCTGGCCTCCTTTGCTGTTCAGGGAAACAGTTCTACATGAAGATGATAGCAGAGCCTCCTGGGTTTATGAAAACCCCGGGAAGCCCCGCTTGTGGTGACACGTGAGAAGCGCAAGGGGAAAGCTTCCTCTGTATTTGGGGAAAACAACCAAATGGCCTCTGGTTCCTCAAGCTGGTGGTGTGTGAAGTCCAAGGGAAATGTGAAGCAAACGAACACCGCAGGCCCGCCCCAGGTCCCGGGCTGCCAGCCCCTCGCTGGCTAGCCTCCAGCCCTGGCGACTCACCTGCTTCCTCCATGAGCTGCCACCTCCATGGGCTCTGAACCCGCTCCCCAGGCCTGTGGCAGAGGGGCCCAGCCCTCCAAGGCCCTACCCACCAATGAAGACAAGCTCCTCTCAGACTCTTGCTTTTGCTAAGTTCACCGTCCACAATAGCAAACATAGGGATTTACTGAGTTTTACTTTCTCTGTCTCTGTCTCCCTTCCTGAAGAGGTCAATGGAAGTCCCTGTGGATTCTGGCTACCGTGCCTCCTGAGGGGAGGCTGGCCCAAAGGCCCTTTGACTGACCCTACTCCTACTCTATAAGGGTCTATATAGAATAAGCAGACTTTGGGGCCAGCACCCCTCCCCTAATAACCACCCCCCAACACACCCACAGGGGTGGGCTCTGGAGCCACGCTGTTTAGGAGACACCCCGTCTTGGCTCTTGGGCTGATGGGATCACAGTGCCCCCTGCCCCGAGGCCCCCAATCTGGCACCTGGGCTCAGCCAATCAGACTCTCCCCTGGGAGATCAGCGCCAGGACCAAGACCATCTCCTCAGCCTCTAGGGGACATTTGGTGGCAGGAAGTAGGAGGAGGGCAGATATGCGCTATAACAGAGAGAGCTGGCCAGAAAATCAAGAGAAGAAAAAGAGAAGCTGCGAGAGAGGAGAAGAGCCCTAGGCCTGACGGCAGTTCCCGAGTCTAGCTCCTCAGAGGTAGGGCCGGAGTTTTCACCCTTGGGTTTTGTGAAATACCGCCATCTCCTTCCCACAAGGCCATCATTTTGCTGGAGCAAACAGCTGCCCCTTGCAGCCAAATGGGCCCCAGCAAGGGCAGCCCCAATAGACCACCAAGGCTGGAGGAGCCGTCCCCGCAGAGGGCTGTTCTGAAGACCCTGGCGCTGCAGGAGAGTTCTTGCAGCTCCGGGCCGCATCCTCTCTGGAGCGTGGGAGGGCTGCGCGGTGCAGGCTGCCCGCCCCGTCCCTGGGAGCTCAGTGGCATTCTGGACTTGCTGAATGATGGGGTCGACCTCAGACAAGCCCCTTTCTTGTTGGCATCTAGGACTTTTGCAATCTGCTTCCCCTTGGCCCACACACAGTTACCATATTGGGGGCAGAGCCTGGTAAATCCTTTCTCTTGTGAGTTTAATTCTTAAATGGCTCCCCACTGCATACGGGATAAAGTCCAAGTTCCCTAATACAGCGTTCAAGTTCACTGTCTACCTCCCACAGCTTCATGACTCCCCATTTCAGCTTTTGTGTCTTGTTTGGAGAAAAGGCTCTTGCTTCCACCTCCAAGCCTCTGCCCCTCTGGTCCCTCTGCCCAGAACGCCCTTTGCTTCCTTCTCTGCCTTGCTAACTTCCACTTGTCTTTCAGGAAGTCTCCGAGTTCTGCATTCAGTGCTTCTGGGACACCTCTAACTTCCCAGGCTGGGCAAAGGGCTCCTCCACTGGGCTTCCACATCTTCTGAGCTCGCCTAGCCTATCAAAATCCAGACTGGATTGGGTTGTAACTGGCTGCTTCCTGGTGTTTCCACTACACCATGGACTCTACAAGGGCCGAGATCACAACTTACTCTCCGAATCTCCCCAGAGCCACATTCAGTATAAACAGGCCTCTATCCGCCTACCCACCCCATCTCTGGTTACTCCTTCCTGCCAACGATGTAGATTTCCAAGAGAATGCTCAGGTCCCCGTCCCTATTTTAAAGATGATGAAACAAAGCCTCAAGAGGTTCACAGTGACTCAAGGTCACATTGCTAGGAAGGGCCAGGGCCTGTATTAGAAGCCAGAACTGTCTGCTTTAAACCCTGTGCTTTTCCCACGACACCCACTACTGAGCTGGCAAACTGCCTTGGCCCTGCTCTGTGTTGACACCATGATGAGTTCATTCAAATGTGTGGATCCCATTTAGGGCCATCAACTTTTCTGAGCTCCAATAAGACTTCTAATCTGCACCCGGGGATCAAAATTTAGAATTTAGGCTACCATGGTTCCCTCATGCCCTCATGTGGATGGGTTTCGCCCCTCCGTGCCTTTGTGTGTGCTGTTTCTTCTGCCCAGGTTCCCCGTGAGGATTCTGTTCCTTGTCCCTGCTCCATCATCAAGATCCACCTCAAGTGTCCCCCTCTATCTGAAGCTTTCCAGGAGCCTTCCGGGCTTGTTGCTCATTGGCTGCTTGCGTTGTGCCCATTAAACCATCCATTTCTCTGTGACAGTCCCTGGCTACATTCTGGGCTTCATACCTACCCTTTTCCTCCTGTCTCTCCCCTACTAGACAGTGATCACTATATTATTCAGCTCCCAGCCCAGAACCTGGCTTATCTTAGGTGCCTAATTAAAGTGTGTTGGAAGGAAGAGGGAGGAAGGACGATGTTTGCAAAGCATTTCACATCAAGAAAGCCCACAGCCCCATAGAGGGGGGAACAAGACCTAACCCCGCCTGATTCCTCTGCAACTGCTAACAAAGGACTAGGGGCATAAGGATGAATCAACTAGCATTTTCTAACCAAATTCTGCACACCATAACTTTCTTCTGTATTTGTGCTGATATTTACAAAGCACTTTTGAATGCATTCATTGACTTAATTTTCATCATAATCAAGACGGTCCTTACAATTTTTTGAAAAATTTGCATGGAGGAGCCACTAGAGTCAGCCTCTAATCCCAAGCCTTGCCTAGATGCAGCCTACCCCACAGCACGTACCCATGTCTGAGGTCAGAGACCTGCTGCCCAGACATATCCACGTACGTTACAGGCATCCTTCTCCACTCATGGTCCATACACAGCATGGTTACGTGATGCTTATTATGGATACAGAGAGTCCTTGGCCAAGAAATGGTCATTTGTTCCCAAGATCAATAGCCCCAATCAGATAGCTCATCCACTCCCCACCTTGTAATCCTTTCCTGTGATTCCCTCCCCTCTCCAGCCTCCCACCAGAGAGAAGGGCCCATGCCTTGCAAGTTCTTCGTGCCCCAGGGTGCAGTGCCAGCCCTTCTCAGATGTCGGCTGGCAGGCATAGCCAGCACCACATCCCTTTTGCCTTGCTTCTCAATTAGGCCTGCGTACTGCTGCTCAGGCTGTCACCCCAGGCCCTCCAGTTTCCATCAGCATGGCCATGTGCCAAGCCACCCTGATCAGTAACATAGGGTTCCTGCCCCTGAGGTCTGCTCCGGAGAAGGCCTACCAGAGAGACTAAGACGGGGTCCCCAGGAGGACCTGCCATTGCTAGGGTCAGTCTCAGGGCTAGGGAAGCTCAGCAGAAGGCTTGAGGCCCAGAGGTGCACAGACACCGTTGGAGGACCCCTCCGCCACTGGGCAATGAACCAGCAACACCCACAGCACCCAACCACTCCCAGTCCACCAACCACCCCCAGGCCTGCCCTCCGTCTCTAGCTTCTCCTGGAACTTAGTGACCTCAGAGTGACCCTTCCCAGATGGCGAAGCTATAACATGACAAAGCTCAGAGATGGCCACCCCGCAGGAGCCTCCAGCCCTCCCTGCATCACAGAGGCTAACCCTCGGTCAACCGTCTCTTCTCTCAAGAGAGAAACCAGAGTGGCCGCCCCAGAGGAGGAGAGCATGCCATTCAAGACCTGAGTTTGAAACCTGGCTTTGCCACTAAATTGCTGTGTTTCCTAGGGCAAATGACCCCAGCTCTCTGGGCTTCAGGGGCCTCTCCTTCCAGGGAGGGTGCTGGCTGCATTGAGCCATCCATTTCCTCTTTTCTCCCAGTCCCCACAATAACCAGAAACCACAGTTCTGGGTTAGGGATAAAGCTCACGGCATGGACAGTAAAGCTTCCTCTGTTTCTGCAAAAATAACAAAACAACAACAAAATATCGGTGTCTGTATTTAGTGGGTGCTTACTCCGTGCCAGGCGCCATTCTGGGCAAGTTTACGCACGCGGTCTCATATCATCTTCACAGGGGTGCTAAGAGGTGCATGTTGTTGTTACCAATTTAAAGACGGAACATAAGGCTGAGAGAAATTCCCTGTTTTGCCCATGGACACACAGCTGGAAATGGAGAGAAGCAAGATTTGAAACTGGGCACTTCGTCTTCAGAACAAGGACCTTGCAGAACTCCATTCTTCTCCGCATCGATCTGTCCTGCTCAGCTTCCCCTCCCCATAGAACATTCGTAAAATCTGATCGCATACTTGGGCACAAAGAAAATAATTTTTTTAATTTAAAATTAGGGATTTTATAGGCCACCATCTCTTACTGTAATCCGAAAATTTTAAATTAAAAAATGGTAATGTGGCTGAAAATATTCTTAACTACTTGGAAATTAATAAACATACATCTAGGTAAACCACAGATCAAAGCAAATATTAAAACTGAAATTAAAAACGGTCTAGAAACAGATGAAAAGGGGAACATTTTATTCCAAAACCTATGGGATCCCAAAAAAAGCTCAGCTCAGGGGGAAATACACGGCCTGAAACGCCTTCCTTATTAAGGAAGAAAGACTAAAAATAAAGAAGCTGAACACACATAATAAGAAATTAGGAAAACAAGCAAGCAAAAAAGAAAGTATGAAATGGAAATTAATCAATAGCTGAAATTAATAACATAGAAAATAAGAGAAATGAAAAAAATTCCACAAACAGATTCTTTGAAACTAGAATTGGCTAAAGAGGCTGAAGGTGTTGCAGGGGCTGGGCGAAGGCCTCAGGATCCACGTGCGTGTCCATCGTGCCCAGCCCCAGCGGTCAGTCACACGGGCTCCAGCCCCTTGGTCCCCTGACCCCTGGACTGGTGGCTTCTTTCCACCTGGATATCGCTTGGCAGAGTCTGGCCGTTTGACTGCCCAACCAAGACTCCTTGGACTGGAGTCTTCAGCATTTCCTCCCCAAAATAAAGCTCTTACGTCTGGGCTTATTAGGCAAACGAGTCAGTTTTGTGTTTTCAGCAATGAAAGCTGCTGTGGTTTTGTTTTCTCTCTGTTGCCAGGAGTCAAGAGGAAGTCTGTGGTTAGACATCTTCGGGTGGAGACATACGAAAACACAGCGGCCAGAAATGAGCTCCTCAGATTCAGCTCTCCCAGCCCGAGAGAAGGAGCTGAGGAAACAACACACGGGAAAGAGAAAGCCACCAGCAAAGCTCTATCCAGACGGCAGCAGCACTCGCCTTTCCTCTCGGCCTTGGCCTGCCTGTTTCCCGTTCTGACCGTAGGATAGCGTGGATCCAGTATTCCTTCAAAGGACGAGGCAACCTAATTTGCTTTCACTCAAATCCAGGGACTGGATTTAAAAGATCCCTGTGAATTCAGTGCCCATCTCAGTCACGGAGCTGTGGTGGACGCTGCCAGCTGCCACCCTCTCTGGATCCTGGCCTCTCCTTCGTTCCCATCAAGACCCTGGATTTGTTCAGGGTGGTGGTGTGCCCAGCCACGAATGCTCACATCTCCAGCCTCCCGTTCTGGCCATTTGATTACGGTTCTGGCCAGTGAGTTATTGCATTTCTAAGAAAACTTTCACATTTCTAATATAGGTGCCAACTCTTCCTCCTTCTCCCTTCTTTTTCCTGCCTGGAACTTGAACACAAGACCCAGAGGTACAGCACCCATCTTGGGTTTACAGGTAGGGTAAGGATGAAGTTAGAGCAGAACCACAGAAAGGCCGGCCCTAGATGGCATTACTTCTGGGTGGATCAGCTTCCACCCTGCCCTGTACTACCCACCCTGGACTCCTCATGTCATAAGAAAAATAAAGCTTCAACTATTAAACCACTGTAGCTGGCTGCTCTGTTCCTTGCTGCTGGACGCGTTAAGAATCCCAGCTCTCGTAGGGTTTTCAAAACATTCTCACTCCACCTTCTTATTGGGTCCTCACAGACATTCTTCAAGGTGGATCAATGTCTTTCCTCTCGTTTTCAGATGAGGAAACTGAGGTTCTACAGCTATGAAGTGGGTCAGACAAGGAGTTAGGCCTGAACTCCAGAACTCTGTCCCCAGTCCATTGCTTTCGCCAAGAAAACCTTTCTTGCCTGTGAGCAATTCAAAGCTATCCTCCCCTGCAATACCTCCCCCCACGCAACCCTAGACACAAAGTGGAAGTTTCTCAGGAGCCAAGGAGCATGAAATTGATTTCAGTCCCAGCTTCTAGTGCCAGGAATAGAGATGATTGTAGATTTTAAAATCTATCAGTTTGAGTCAAAAGACCTCGGTTCAAGTCTTCCATCTCCCCTACTTGCTATGCGATCTTTGGGGAAAAATCTCTGAAAATCTTCCTGCTCATCAGCACAACGGAATGGCAGTTCTTCTCCCCCTGAGGCTGTGACGATAAATTCAGAGAGATATGATAATGTATGATATATGATAATAAGCTCAGAGATAGTAATCTCTGAGCACTCAGGATGTCAGGGAGAACACTTTGTGCATGATAAAGCGCTGATGTCCTTTTTATAGGGCTGTTATCATGATGACTTTGGTCTGTCTCGAGGCTGTGACACCTCCCCCAGCTCAGCCCTCCTTGTGGTTGACATGTAAATTACAGATATGCTTCACATGCCTTCGTGACCACTTGTCACCATTTGTCAACCTCAAGAGAGCTGAGAACATTGATCTCAAGAGACTATACTTTAGGAAAGGATAATGTCAGTGTTACAATACTTGTTTGTCCATTAAGCCAGGATATCTTATTTCATAAGTTCTTTACTTTCTTGGTGACCAAAATTTAACCGTTCTTCCACTTTCGGAAAAAAGTTGTATCAGACCGTGCTGGGGGCTCTCAGGGTTGGAGGGGACTTAAAAATCATCTGGTCCATCCTGCCCGTCCAGCCCAACCCATGCCCATTCAGGGCTGACCGCTCATGTTCACACTCCCCTCCCCCACCGAATCCCTGATGGGCATCTAACCGCCACTTGCTCACCTTAGAGACAAGGAGCTTACTGCCTCCCGAGGCAGTCCATTTCACCTCTGACCGTTCTCTGCTGGGACCTTCTTCCTCCAACAGACACTCCTTGGCAGACACAAGGATGTGTTCTTGGCAAACCTCTAATACTCTGTACACTTGACTGTGTAGGACGGTGACTACCAGAGTCCGTGGGGAAGGAAGGAGCCCACGTGAGGTGTCACCAAACAGGAAGTGCCATCTGTGCTGGATGATGACAGTGAGAGAAGGCATCAGTCAGCTGCCCTGGGTGGCTCCAGAGACAGCTTTTTGGTTCATCACGTTAAAGAACTCAAGAATAGCAATTGTATAGTTAATTCTGACATTCTGGGTATTCACTGGGATAGGCCAGGTTACGCTGCAGTAACAACCTTGAAATCTCAGGGGCTTAATATAAGGAAAGTTTATTTCTTGTTCGTATAAGGTGCAGCATGAGTTGGGAGATTCTTCCCCATTTTGCATGCCATCTGGAACACAAGGCCTCCGAAGCCACTACAGCAGAGAGAAAGAGGAGAAGTGCCAGCTCTTAACTGCCTCAGTCTCAACCTATTGGTCAGAATGAGCCACAGGGCCCCAACCTAGCTGCAGAGGAGGCTGTGAAGTGTAGTGGAGCACGTGGAATACATGGCGAGTGCTGTCTTTCCCACAGTCTGCCTCCTCCCAGTACATCTCAGGGTATGCCATTAGAGAAACAAGAGTCAACTCTGCAAAGAGGAGGAGCCCAGGGTAATGGCAATGAACCATGCAAGGTGATGGGTGCTGTACGGGTGAAGGAGGGCCTCAGTCTGCTGCCTTCCTGCAAAGGAGCTATCACATGGCAATCTGTGGTGGGGTTTGTATGCATGAGTGGCCAGGCTCTTCCACCCACAGTGACCATGTGCTAATGCAATGAGGACAAGCTTTGTACACAGAATGTTCTCAGCCTCCCCACCACCCCCCACCAAAAATGTGGTCCTTGCCTTACTCTGCTTCTCATCCAACTCTCTAAGAAGAGTTCTATCTTGGCCATCCCAGTTCCTAGGAGGAGAGGGAGAGACGGACAGCACTGGAGAGACTGGAGGAAAGGGGCAACATCCTGGCTTGCTGAATCAGATCCTGAGTCTTTTCTAGGGAAGAATTTGGGTCAGCAGTAAAGTGGAAAGAAAACTAAAGAAGAATGCAGAGGGGGAGGGGGAGGAGGGACAAGAAAAAGAAGACAGAGATGTTAAGTCCATCTACGTAACAGAGATGCAGTAGGAGAAAAGAGAGGTGGCATGTCAGGCTGACTGGATGTCAGGAGGGTTTGGGGTGCTGTGGTAGAGACAAAGGTTCTAGAGATGGTGTGAAGCACACGATAATGAGATAGAGAAATAAAAAGGGACCTCATCCTTCCTCCCTTCTTTGAGAGATATGCATGAAGCCTGAAAACCCCTTACTTTCTTTTGCTTGCTGGATCGTGCTTCTTGAAAGTGACTTAATTAAGAGACTGGATCACAAGGACTCCCCATATTTAGTCAGGTTACATTAATAAAAAATCAAAACAGAATGAGTAGCATATTCCCAAAGCAGGTAAGGCAGATGCATAAAAGTCAAGAAGAGGCTACAATTGCTCAGAAAGATACTAATATGCTTTGGTAATGACAAAGGATAAGGAGAGTGATACAGCAGCAGCAACAGCAAGGAGCCCCTCCCACCCTAGCCACCATGTCTGAGGCCTGGCAGGTTGTCAGGGCCCCTTTCCCACTGAGGTTTCCAGCATGAACTCCATTTCCGGGATGCAAGCTGACTTGGGGGTATCTCCTCCCTCCTCTGCTCATCGTACCTCCACTCATGGAGGCTACAGTGACATTAGCTCTGCTGGTTGCCGCCTCCCACTGTTGACTCATATGAGATTTCCTGTCAACTAAAAACCCAACATCTTTCACTTGTGCTGTTGACCCAGGTAGCCCACATCCTGTATGTGTCTGTGGGTACTCCGAACCCCAGTGCAAGCAGAGGTCTCTGTTGCCTTTCATCTTGGTATGCATCAATTTTGGCCCAATGTTAGTTTCGGCCCTGTTGAGGCCTCTCTCGATCCTGCCTCTCACCTTCCCTGTATTGCTTGTCCCTCCCACTTTCCCACGTGTTCCTCTGTGACAAGGCAGTTCAGTGCCTTGGGTGAATCAGTTCCCCAGCCTTTGGAGTCAGACCTAGCTGGGTTCCAAATCTCATTACATCAATGACTGTGGGACCCTGGGCAAGTCACTCACCCTCTCCCGGTCTGTAAAGGGATAATACAACCTATCTGACAGGGATCTGGTGGGGAGTAGACGAAATAATCCGTAAAGAATCTATGTAAAGTACTGGCCGTGGTTGCTGACACTTAGGAGATTCTCGGTGAATGTTCATCTTCTCCCACACCTGTAATTCCATTCTAGTCACTGACAAAGGTGTCAGATAAGATGCGGCCAAAGACAGAGTCCCTTGGCATACCCCCCATCGAGGCTGATCAGCTAGGCTGATGCAGCCAGATTCGTCCACTCCGTTTGCACATGCGGATATACTGTGGGAAAGAAAGCAAATTCTGTACGAGTTTTTCAAATAAAAGCTAAGATTTCCAAGATATTTCCTGTCTCTCACTAGCATAGAAGCCTCAAAACTGGGTTCAAAGTCAGTCTCTGCCCTCCAGAAGTCACTGTACCAGACAAAAGTGGCCCAAGAGGCTATTTGGTTCCACAAAGACCGACCAAATCTCTCTTCGTGGTTCCCTCAGCATCCAAGGAAAAATCCAGCACTGCCAGCTTCAAGAGCTGCCTCTTCCCCTGGGCACACGCCCCATCCCCATCTCCTCCCCTGGCTCCAGGAGCTCTCCTGATATTCTGAAGGGATAACGGCAGCAGCCTGCTCACCCCCGTCACAATCGACAGTCAAAATTGTGCCTACTCTGACCTTGGCCAAGGGCCCCACTTCTGGGTCAGCAATGAAGAAAAAGTGCTAGACTTGGAGTAAGACAGGCCTGAACTCAAATCCTGCTCCCCCTCACCAACTCAGTCTCGGGCAAGGCACCCACCCCTCCAAGATCAGGTCTGCAACATGGCAAGTTGGGATAAGAGCATCTACCTCATGGGGGTTGGGGAAGCCATGGGGAAGGCCGGCTCCTCACAGGTCCTCACCCACCCTCCCACCTCACCTTCTTCTCTGCCTCCATTCCTCCAAAATGGTAGATTCTTTCTCCTTCTAATTTTTACCCCACAAAGCACAGGACAATGAAAAATAAAAATAGTTGGCTATCAGAAGACCTGGCTTTGAGTCCACCGAACACACAATGTGTTTATCAAGTCATCTCCATAAACTGTGCCTCAGTTTGCTCATCTTTAAAATAAGAGGGTTGAATTAGAGATTGATAATAACCTCTGCTGATTGCATGCTCGCCATGTGCCAGTCCCGTCATAAACGTCATTTATTTACATTAATTCAATACCCTCAAGGAGGCAGTATTACATGAGAGGGAGCAGGGCACAGTGCTCCACAGCACAGGCTGTGAGCTAAGACTGCTTAACTCCATCTTTCTGCTCCCCATTCAGCTGCTTTTTTATCTAAGACAAGCAACCTCACCTCTCTATGCCTCAGTTTCCCCTCTGCAAACTAGGGTGGTTATGAAGTTTAAACCAGGTCATCCACACAAGGGCTTTGCCCAGGCACATGGGAAGTCTTGCCTGCATGATTAGCCCAGAGGCTGCAAGGTGTCAGAGACCTGCCCACGCTATAGAGCGCGGGGCCGTGCAGTTCCGAGTGCCCTGGGCCACTGCAGAACACTCTCTCTCCCCACAGCTGTCTCGATGTTGACTCTGGAGCTGCTGGGCTGGTGACCTAGAGGAGAAGACACCCAGGAGAGAGGATATCAGAGGAGAGGCACTCATGAGATCCTGGGGAACAGAAGCTCCCCCCATGAACAGCAGACCACAAGACCCTAGCAGGCACGCCCACAGAGCGCACGGAAACCCCTCACCGCAGGAGCCATTTGCCCAGTCCTGCCAGCTCCAAGGCTCCAATCCAGAGCCTACCTCTTTGCAACCCCATTAGAAGCCTCAAAGTTAGTCTTTTGAGCTAATCCAATTCTCAGATTCTACATACCCTAAGCCCTTAATTTTACATCTGAGAAAACTGAAGCCTAGAAATGGGAAGTGACTTATCCAAGGCCACATAGTGACACTTTCTGGTGTCAGAGCTGGAACTGCACCAGCGATCCCAATTGCACTGCCTCTGAAACATCAGCCACCACAGGCTCAAGGACGTCTCCAACCTGAAGACACGTCTTTTTATCACAGAGACTTCTCGGAGGTGAAATTGCTCATTAGGACCCAAAGGAATGAATCCATGACAGTGACGCTTCAAGTGATGTGACCAGTTTGGGGGAACACCCAGGTATTGCAGTACCGCAGACAGACCAGGAGGGCAACTCACTTCCTTCCCAGTTCGAAGCTGGCCTGAGCCCCAGGTACAGGGCGAGGAGTGGTAAGGAGCTGGGAGTGTCACTTACTCTATTTCAATTTCCACAGAAACCTCATGGGAACAGTAATATGAACCCCAGTTTGCAGAAACTGAGGTTTTAGGAGGCCAAGAGGCTTCTCAAGGCAGCCAGGTGACAGAATCAGGATCGGCCCTCCAGCCACTCCCTCCTGACAAGAGGACACCATCACCGGCAGCCTCCTCTGTTGTAAGTCCCTCTTCCTTCGGGGGCCTGGGCCACCAGACAGGGGAAGATAGGCTCTTTGCAGGTCAATAACAGTCCATTAGGAATCTTCTGTTTAATAAACCATCAACCTTAAATTATTGAAGGGATAGGAAAGTGCCAAGAAGATCGAGGTTGACAGGAGTAGGGAGGGGTGCAGGACGATAGAAGAATATTAATTGAATGCCCACGAGCAAGATGTTCTTGGGTGTGACTGTAGGGTTTTTATAGCAACCTCACAATAACCCACGTCCTCCCATTTCACAGGGGAGGAAACTGAGGCTCAGAGGGGTTTATCACTGCCAGGCGTAAACAGCCGTTGAGTGGAGTCTAACTTAGGTCAGGCTGGCTCTTTCCTTGGCACCATGCTGCCCCCAGGGAAGCCAGGAGGAGGATGGGCAGACGGGGAGGAACTGAGGGGAGGGCGCGAGGCAGAGAGAGCTAAGGCAGATGCAGAGAGAAAGCAGGGCGGGAGGGG